GGAAGGCCAAGAAGCCAGATTTTCTACTTTTTCAGCGCCCTAGAGAGGAGTCGACAGCATCTACAATCTTTGCCTACATTTAGGCGAATAAGGGACTTTCTAAAAAAAAGATAATAAAATTCCTTCAATTCCACGCTTTTCTTATGATGAAACAATATTTTCCAAGACTCATTGGGTGATTTTGATGATGATTTAGATGATATTTAATTAATTTGGTTGGGATTTGGTGGATAAAAAAAGTTTTGAAGAATCTCGGTTTATCTCGGATCTCGATATCGGTCTCGGGTCAAATTTTGCATCTCGGTCTCGGTCTCGGTCATGCGGGTCTCGGTCAATCTCGGTCTCGGATTTTTTCTAAAATCTCGATCTCGAGCAACTCTATTTAGTACACAACTACAATATCCCCTTATTTGCCCTTTCCTTTTCGAATCAAATAATTTTTTAAAATTAATTTCCTTTTATGGAAATAGAGTTTAGAGTGTGTTTGTTTGTGTTATATTTTGTGAAATTATGCATAAAATTAAAAGGATGGCTTCAAAAATTTTTTTGTAACAATTTTTTGTTAGGGTGTAGCATAAGTTGTGCTATTGAGAAGGTTATAAATAGAGAAGAAAATTTAGCAAAAATACCTTCAACCACCCTTCAAGAAATTACGACACATTATAGATGTGCCTTTTCTAGGTACCATTCGAAAACTCAATTCGTATAGAAATGTTTCAGCAGCGTTTTGAAAAATTAAAAATTTCTGAGATAAAGAGGATAAAAGGGGACTTAGTCGGATATATCCGGATATGTCTAAATAGATAAGAAAATAAATGAGTGAAGGGTATTGGGTGAGTGGTTTATTAAAGTTCCGATTCCGGGCTGGAACTAAGAAAAGTTCATGTTCCGGGATCCGGGCCTGAACTAAGAAAAGTTCATGTTCCGGGATCCGGAATTCAAATTGGATTTAGTTCCGGTCAAAATATCGGTTCCGGTGAATACTTCAAAAATTTAATTTTTCACAAAAATAATTTTTTTTTAATTTTTAAAAAAAAATTTATAAAATCATCCAAAATGTATAAAATCATCCAAAATAAATTTATTAAAAATCCATTAATAAAAATTTTCCTTCAATAAAAATAATTTTTTTAATTCCAAAAAAACGTCAAGTTTTAAGAAATGTTTTTAAAAAATACTTAAAATTTTTGGCACGTGCCACCCTTCATTAAATTTATTTATCCAGACATAATCTTCAATTAAAAAATTTAAAAAATATTTTTTCTTCAATTTTTTAAAATTTTTAAAGGATAATAAACACAAAAGTTAGTAATTTAATTTTATTTAATTCCCTCCTCCGCTTTAAATCCGTGTATTAAGCTTATACGAGGAAAGGCATATGGGGGAGACTAAAAAAATCATAACTCGAGACTGGGTGAATATTTTTTGAAAATTTAAAATTTATTGGATAGATAATTGAATTTCCTACAAAATAAAATTGAAAACAAAATTTTAAATTAAAAAATAAAAATGGTCGATAAATTCCGTGTTCTAAGCTTATATGAGTAAAGTCGTATCAGTGATACTAAAACACTCATAACTCGACGTTGGATGAATATTTTTTGAAAATTTAAAATTTATTGGATAGAGAATTGAATTCTCTACAAAATAAAATTAAAAATTAAATTTTATGTTTCCAACAAAAAATTATGGATAAATTTCAAAAAAAGTGGACATTTAATCCCATTATATTAATTTATTTTTTCCCTCAACTTTATTCTCGTCTTCTCTAAAATTTCGACTTTATTTTTACTTAATAGGCAAAAGTCTCTTTTATAAAATCCCAAAAAATCTTAAAAAAATTTTTATCCCAAGCTGAGTTATTAAGCTTAGACTCAATTAATGTCAACCTTCAAAACACTTTAATAACTTCTTTCCTTTTAATATTTATTTCCGGTTAGCGTTACTTATTGGCATTATATCCTCCTTTCCACACATCATTTTAATCCAGAGAACTTAGTTGCAGCCTTATTTTATTTTTAAAAAAATAAAAAAAATTTTTTTTAAACCTCCAATTACAACAAAATTTTTTGTTTTTAATAAATTGACGGTAATTTTTTTTGTTTCTCCATTTCCTTTTTTATTTTAAAAATGATATCAATTAAATTATTGTACTTTTAATAATGTTTACGGAAATACAAAAAATAAAAAAATAATTTATCAGAATATTTTAACAATAATAAAACAATAAAACCCTTTCTTCAAACAAAACCCTTTTAGCACAAAAAATATTTAATTTCTAAAGAACGGATATTTTAATAGAAAAAATAATAGAAAAGATTATTAAATATTTTTCTACAAAGAAAAATTAATTTTATAATTTATTTATTATTTTTTCTAATTTTAATAAATAAATATTTATTTTTAAAATTGAAAAATATTTAATTTTTGTTTAGTTTTAAATTATTAATAAACAATTTCCGGTTACCGTATATTCTCGATTAATTCCCCATGCCAAGGAAGGGTTGAAAAATTATTCCCCAGGGGAATTAATCGAGAAAATACGGTATCTGGAATAATTAAACTATTTTCAGTTATTTTAAAGCTAATTAAACATTTTCCGGTTATAACAGAATTAATTTTTTCCGGATTGATTAAACTCTTTCAGGTTATTCTGAAATAAATTAAACTATTTCCGGAAATAAACATTTTCCGGTTATACCAGAATTAATTTTTTCCGGATTGATTAAACTTTTTCCGGTCATTCTAGAATTAAATAAAATTTTCCGGAAATAAACATTTTCCGGTTATTCTGGAATTAACTAGTATATTTTTTCCGGAAATAAACTATTTCCGGTTATTTTGCACTTGATTAAATACATTCCGGTTACCCCAGAACAAATTAAATTATTTCCGGAATTAAACATTTTCCGGTTATTTTAAAGTTAATTAAATACATTCCGGTTACTCCAGAATTAATTTTTCCGGAATGATTAAACTATTTCCGGTTATGCTAGAATTAACTGAATTTTCCTTCCGGAATTAAACATTTTCTGGTTGCTCTGGAATTATCATTCTGATATTTTAATAAATTTTTGAATTTTTAGTTAAATATTTTCAAAATTAAATTTCCGGAAGAAAATTAAAAAGTTTACGGTTATTCACAAAAAATAAATATTTTCCCGTCATTTAAACATTTCCGGAAATAAATAAACTTCAATTTATTCCGGATTATTTATTTGATGTCTTGAGTTATTTAACTCTCTCTCTATCCCCTCTATCAATCGGCTATCCTCTTATATTAAAAAATATTTTAAATAAAATTTTTTTCTTATTTTTAAAATATAAAGGTTAAGATTATTAAATTAAATAGAAAAAAAATATTTTTTAGAAAAATTAAAAAAATTAAACAAAATATCCCCACCCCCAACTATTTATCCTCCTCTTCCTCCTTCCCAAATAAATTTTTCTTACCTCCATAAAATTTATTAAAAAATTAAAAAAAATATTTTTTTTAAAAATTTCTACATCTTTTACTACTTTTATTAATCCGCTAGAAGAGGATTTGGGGGTAGAAGCAAGGGGAGAAAGTGAGAGAAAGGAATTTAGGCTCCGCCCCTTTTTGAGGACATAGTGACAAATAAAAAATAATTACATATTTATTTTATTTATATTTAAAAAATATTTTTTTACCTCTTTTTAATAAGCCCCGCCTCCCTTTACTCTTAAATAATTGTTATAAAAATATATATCCAATTTGGAGGCTATAAAAGCGGGGAATTATTAAAAGAATTAGCCAGTTTGCGCATGCTTCTAAAAGCGTATAAAATTAAATAAAATTTTTTAAAAATTATTTTTAATATTGAAAAATTGTTTAGAAATTTTTAAAAATTTTTGAAAAAAATTTTTAAAAATTTTCGAAAATTTTTTCAATTTTTTAAGAAATTTCGAAAATTTCTTAAAAAAATTTTTCAAAAAATTTTTTTTTATTTTAAAAAATTTTTAAAATTTTTTTTCGATAATTTTTGAAAAATAAAATTTTTTTCCTTATTATTCAAAAATGTCTTCTCATCCTATCTATGTAAATAATCCTGAAATATTTTTATTTAATTCTTAAAAAATTTTCCACGCCAATAAACCAACCACTTTTTAGAGGTGGTTGTTGTTGTAGTTGTTTTTGCATGTTACATACTTGCCTTTCGCCAAAACACGACCACTATTTTTCCTTGCCTATTCCCAAAAAATAAATTTTTTTGGATACTAATACCTCGAAAAGTGTCAGTCATTTGTTCTGCTTATTTTTTTTTAATTTAAAAAAAGAATTAATTTTAATGGACACCTTGTTTTGCCTGTGTAGGGCATTTTCCCAGCAAGGATTTTGAGGGAGAAAAAAGTCTCTGGTGTGGTGATCCACAGAATAACCTCCCCAAAAAATGACAAGATGTATTTAAAAACATTAGACAACCACTTTTTGCCATTCAAAAAATTTTTAATTGTTATTTTCTTAAAATTAGGCATTTATTTTTACTAGCCTTATGTACTCATAGACCATGGTTCAGTTAAAGCCCTATAACTCAAGAACGACCGAACCTTTTGGAATAATTTTAACAGAATTAAATAGAGGACTAAATTCTCTTTAAAAAATTGCAAAATAAAAATTTTATAAAAAAATTAAAAAAAAATTCTGGTCGGAAAACCACCTTTAAAAACAAGCATTTTCCCCTCTCACAATAAGTTTTCTTTCCTCAATTTTTTCTAAAATAATTTCTAAAATTTTTTAATTTATCCTATTTTATAGAGAATTTAATTCTCTATCAAACAGTACAAAAATATTTTTTAAAATATTCTTTGTTCAAAAGATATAAAATAAAGACTAGACTGTGTCCCTCACATACACAATTTCCCCCCATTTTGCCCCTCATTTAAATAAAATTTTTTAAAAAATTAATTTTATTTAATTTTTTAAGTATATTGTTCCCTAAAAATATTTTCCTAAAAAATTCTCCAAAAATATTCTAAAAATGCCACCAAAAAATACAAACAACAACAACAATCTCCTCCACCTTCTAAACGTCGAACAAGTCCACCTGCCTTTAGGCAACTTAACTCTTAACGAAAAAACAACTAAAAAAATTATTTACCAGCCAGAAGGACATCCAAAACAGGCTATTATAGATGGCGAAATTTGGCCCCCCGTATTTGAGGTTGAGGCTGTTAGGTAAAAAATTTTTGAAAATTTTTGGAAAAATTTTTTTAAAATTTTTTGAATGTCCGCACTGAACTGCCCCAACTATTAAAAAAATTTTTTTTAATTAAAAAAATTAATTTTCTATTTTTGTAAAAATTTTTTTAGTAAACAAAAAATGCAAAAAAATTTTTTTTAATAAAAACAAAAATTTTCCTAAAAATAAAAACAAAAAAAAATTATTTTTGTTTTTCATGCTTAGCACCTTTCTCCACCACCCCCACAAAAATTATTAATAATAATAATTTTTTTTGCATGACACGAACACTAAAATAAAAAAGTATTACTTTACTAATCCCTATTTTTATTTAAAAGCATTCTCGAAATTTGTTTATAAATATTTTTTTGAGTGTAGTTTAATTTTAAAAGAAAAACAAAAATAAAAATGGTACAAAAAATATTAGTGAGAAAGAATTTTTTTTTAAATTTTATTTTTAGTGCCGTGCCATCCCTCATTTTTAAATACAAAAACAAATTAAAAAATGAATCTATAAAGTGGAAAAACATAATAATTTTAATCTAATGGCAACAGAAAAAATTTAAAAAAATAAAAAGCTATTTAAGGGTATAAGCTGTAGTCATGAACCACGGGGATTTGAAAATCCGTAACTTGCCAACAAAAAAATTTTTCGTAATAAATTTGATGTCAAACGATAGAGGATTAAATAAGCTATAAAATGTATAAAAATAAAAATTTTTGAAGGCAGGCAAAAAATGTTATGGGGGGAAAACTGCACTAACCCCCATACTTTAATCGGAACAAAGCTTAGTTTTCTGACCACAACTTTTTTTTTCTTTAGAGTCCGAATTTTAAATTTTATGTCTATTATATAGCTAATTTTCTGCTCTATTAAACGGTATCAAAAGCTCGATAAAATAGGTCCGGTACTCTAGGTGAGAAGGCCTTAAGAAGCCTCATACTCAAATAACCCGGGAATACGTAAACACAAAAAACGGTGAATTTCCGTGCTAATTTTATCACGGATTATATAATATTTCTAAATAATCTACACGGATTAATAATATAATTATTTTCTGCAAAAATTTTTATAGTCATCAAAATACGGAGAGAAAGCCTTTAATTTAGCAACTTTTACCTAATTTAGTAATAAAAAAAGTCTTTTATCCCCTCTCACAAAAGCAACTAGTTAAATCTTTTATTTTATTTTTTTATCTTTTTTATTCGGAGATGGGAAGGGGGGATTAGTACGGCCAATATGGTATTGTTTAATAAAATAATTATTTCTCTTCAACCATTATTATATTTTTAAAGCCAAGCAGAAAATTGGGTAATAATTCTAAAAATGGAAAGATGACGGTTGTAAAGGAGAGAGGAGAGATTATATTGTCTATTAATACAAAAAAAGGTTTAAAACATAAAAAAAAGTGTGATAATTACCTAGAAAAAATACCTAAATTTGCTAAATTTTTTTTGCTGAATTTTTTTTGCAAAAAATTTTTTTCTGTCAGTGCGGACGGTTCAGTGCGAGACAAAAAATTTTTTAATTTTTTTTTGAAAAAAAATTTTCTCTAAAGATCTGCAAAGACTATGAAGCCTCTCCCTAGCGACGTGTTTGTTTGTACTTACCCAAAATGTGGAACTACCTGGATTCAACACATTTGTTCCCAACTACTTTTTTGTTCCGAGTACGGGCCACATCAAGGAAAAGGTACATAAATAAGTTGTTAATATCCTGGGATAGTTAGTTAAGTGGTTATGTGTTGGGGTCGTCTGGGCCACTTTTTCTTAAGGTTGTGGGTTCGATTCCTTTCTGGAAAAAATATTTTTGAATTTTAAGATCCCTACGTCCTCTTGAATATCTGGCACTAATTCACATTTTTAATATTTTTTGGTTAGGTGGTAGAGTGCTGGGTTCGCTCGATCGAATTAATCAAGGGGTTGAAGGTTCGATTCCTTTCGGGGCAAAAATATTTTTAAGTAAATAATTTATGCTTCCCACATTATTTTTAAGCTTTTTTGCCACTTTGACACATTAAAAAAATTTTTTTGAGCCTATTAAAAATTAATTTTTGCCAGTTGCAGAGCTGTGCACAACCTCCCCAATGATTGAAAGAGTCGGCGCCGATTACTGTAACAAATTGCAACATCCACGCCTATTAAAAACACACTTTTCTCACCACAATTGCCCCCAAAACAACCTGTCAAAATATATTTTTGCTTGTAGAAACCCAAAAGATTGTTTAGTTTCATACTACCATCACAACAAAAATTTTAAAATTTATGACTGGGCAGACGGCAATTTCGACCAATTTTTCCAACTTTTTATTGAAGGAAAATTGGCTTTTGGAGATTATTTTGAACATTTGAATAGCTGGCTTCCACAAAAACTTAACAACAAAAATTTATTATTTTTAAAATATGAGGATATGTTGAAGGATTTGAAAGGAACGATAATTTTGATTGCCAAATTTTTGGGGGAAAATTCAGCAAACTTAATTGAAAATAGTCAAATTTTGGAAAAAATTATTAAAGAAAGTCAATTGGAGTCTATGCAGCAAAATCAGACTAGATGGTTTCCGGGGAATGCTCTGCACAACGAGTCGTTTATTCGAAAGGGATGTGCCCGCGACTGGAAGAATTATTTGAGTAGAGAACAGAGCGATTTAATTGATGAGGTGAATAAATTTTAAATTAAAGTCTGACTTCATTATAAACCCCTTGAGATTTAGACAAATTGTCTCTTATAATGAGGGTGGCACTTAGACAGAGAGTGGCACTTAGGCAGCTCTTCCCCTTCTAACGGTCAACCAGCTTTGAGATGTCTCTTATAATGAGCGGTATCCTAAATAGAGGGTGACGCCTAGGCAGCTCTTTCCTTTCTATTGACCAACCAGCTTTATAAAAACGCGTCGTGAGGTATCTTATATTGAGTGGTACCTTAAATAGGGGATATTTCTAGAGGAGTATTACCTTGTACATAAGACTACACAGCTTCTCCCTCTTTTAATGTCCAACTAAATTTAAAAAAAGTATCCTATATGAGGTGTTTCTAGTATTGAGGGCATTGATGGGTATCTTATAATAAAGTCCGACATATTCTGAGGCATTTATAAACCTCCTAACCCTTATAAACTTCTCAAAAATTTTTTCTAAATTAAGTTCTATTTTAAGTTATTCAAACAAAGAATGGCTGGGACAGAAGCTGAAAATTGGTGGAAGGATGAAATGAGATGGGAAGATGATGAAGACGAAAATGAAGAATATAAACAACACCAAAGCGAAGAAGAAACAACAAATAACGATTCTGGAATGGAAAGTGGAGATGACGAGGAAAATTGTTTTGAAAGTCAAAATAGAAGGGATTCTGTTACTTCTGAATGTTATTCGACTACGAGTTGTTCTTCTGATACTTCTTCAAATTTTTGAAGAATTTTTTTGAGAGATCTCTTCTTCCCCTTCTTCTAGTCTTAAAAACACCAAATTTTGGCTTTACTGCACTTCTAACCAAAAACATACATTTTGCCAAAATCTCAAAATGGTCAACTAACCAAAATGGCTTTTTACATATTGACAGAATTTTTTTGAAAAATATTTTTACCAATTATACCCATAATTATACCCATTAGTGCTGTGTATGGCCTCGGGAGCTAGCTTAGGAGCCCGGCTCCTGAGCTAAGATTTTGAAAACCCCGGAGCCAACAGAAGCCCAAAATACAGCATTGATACCCATTAATATTTTTATTATTTATTTGTTTACCCATAATTAGATGATATTAATTAATTAAATTAATAAAAAATAATTTCTTTTAAAAAAAGAAAAAAAATTAAACCGCAAAATTATTATCAAGTTTAATCAATAGAGATTTTATTGCTAATTAATAGCAAGTGGATTTTTGAATATCTAATCCGTTTCTCGACCCTTCGTGTACATAATGTCTTTAATTAACCTCTCTGTTATAGCACCCCCTTCCAATATCACTTTCTGATCCAACGTCCCCTCAAACCCCTCAACTTGGCATTGAGGGGTGCTTCTAGCCTGATATTCGCTTCAGAGGGTTATAAATCAAAAAGGGATTAAAGTGTATTTTTTTGAAAATTAAAAAAATTTTCTAAGAAAATTTTCCAAAAATCTCTATTTTAAATTACCTATGCCTTTTAATTAAAATATAATATTTTTAATTATTCTTCCTTGTATTTAATTTTAGTTTTAATTATTATTATTTGCATTTTATTTTACTTTATTTATAATTTAATATATTTTTCTGAGTAATAAAATAATTTATTTGTAATAAAAAAATTTTTTAAAGTCGAATAAAGTCGGCCAAAAGGGGTTATGATGTAAAAGAATTCATAGGGGGTTGGTTGAGTTTCCTTTGGTTTTGTAGTAATTCTCCATCCCAGTTCTATGAATTTCTGGATGAAGTTCATAATCTAATACATCTGATTTAACTAGGGTTCGAAGTTGTTCAAACTTTGGTTTTCCTAAAAGAATTAAGTACTGTATTAGAGAATTTCAAAATGTAAATAAAGCCAAAAATTTCAAAATGTCAACTAGAGACAGAAATTTCAAAATGGTAAAAAAATAATTACCAGCGCCCGTCTTGAGTTGATTTTCGCGTACTACAGTAACCTCGTAGTAAAACCTCGCCCTCTCCGCTCCAGCAAAAACATCTCTTTCAAATTGTACTTCTAGGTTACTATCATGGTACTAAATATTTATTTTTTAAAATTAATTTATAATACAAATTCCCTCACATAATTAGCATTTGGAGTGTCAGTCATTCCCTCTTCAAATACCAAATCTTCTGGATCATCTTCCATTTGTATTTTTAAATGAGATTTGCAAAGCATAGGCGTACCAGATGTTGCGGCCTTTATTTTTATTCAATACAGAACTCACTCGTAGGTACAACCCTAAGACACGATTTTCCTAATTACTTCCTCCTAATTTGACACTCATGCCAATGTTATTATTTATTAATTTCCTAATTATTAACTCTCACACTCACTCATACACCTACTATGGTACCAAGAGTGTACACTCTTGTGTACACTCTTGGTACCCTCAAATCAATCAAGGGATTTGTACGAATAACCTCGCATTTACTTAAAAATTCACGTCATTAGAGGTGTAAATTTTTTTCGTTTTCCGAGACTAAGCACGAGACACTAAAAACCCGAGAAATTTCTTGATTCGAGGCCATCTCGAACAGCAATAATCACAATATTCTAACATTTTAGAATAACTGAGTTCAAAAACCATCAAACGTAAACTACCTTCCCCTGATTCATCCAAATTAAATCTTCTGTATTAGGTATAATAATATCTCCTTTTTCACAAAAATCCTTTTGAGTAACAGGAAAAACATAAAATAAATGTAGATCATAAGGTTTTAATTTTTGCCAATATTTGTCGTTCCAAAATCTTTCTATAGTTACCAAAACTGCCGGAATTGGTGAACCTTCTTCTACTTCATTTGTTGCTTTTGGAACGGGCAATTTACGGAGTGCTATATTAAAATTATTGTATGTATTGTAGGATATGCCCTAAGACATGAGAAAGATTTATTTTATAATGAGGTGTATTCTAAATAAGGGTGGTATCCAGGGCCACGCGAAAATGGTGGTATCGCCTAAGCATCTCTCACACTCAATAACATATCTTAAATTGAGGAATATCTATTAAATAGGTATTTATAAATGAGTTTCGATAGTATGAGATCTCTCGGAAGTGGATACCTCAAGTTAAGATATGCCCGAGAAAATGGGAGATCTGCAAAGGCCCCTTATGACACCTCTCATTGTATCTAATAATCAAATCAGACTGTATCATAATTAATAAAATATTACAAGAAGAATAACAAAGCCTGTAGAAAGCCTTATTCCGCTCCAATTTAGGTTCAAATATTTCACTATATCTAATACCACCATTTCGTCCATCCAAAATTTTGCATTTTTGTGTATTTCCAATACTCCCTTCAGTGCTTGGAACGCTTCTTGCACCGTTATTTCGTATTAAAGGGCCATTATGTAGACAATTACAAGTTACATTTTCTCTAATTTTCCGAACGTCAATATGGAGCATACAAGTACTGTAACAATATAATTTAAAGTTTCAAAAATTTAATTTAAGAATGTCCAGGTTTAAAAATGTTAACTAGAATAATTTTTGAAATTTTTAAATTATTTCAAAATGTCCAAATTTCAAAATGCCCATGTTTGAATTATTTAAGTACCTATATCCACTATTTTTACAATCACTGCATTTACTACATTTTTCCAATACTTTTCCATTACTAATTTCTATTAATTTCAACTCATCATCAAAAATATCCAACTTCCCAAAATCATTAGTCTCGCAAATTAAATCAACACAATCAAAATTTTGATTAAAAGATGGAACAAAAAATGTTGTTGGATTAGAAAAAATTAAATTTATTGAAGAAAAGAAGAAAATTGAAGAGAAAATAATATTAATAAAGAAGGAAATTATTAAGAGGAAGAAAATCAAAATTATCATTTTATTTTTCATTTTATGTCTAAGTATTAAGCCCGGCTCGATACGATACTTATCGATATTCTATATTTTTCGATATTTATCGAAAAATATCGATCGGAAAAATTTAAGGATTTAGTTTTGTATACCGGAGTTTTAGTTCCATACAAGACCCATACCATTCGATTCGCCCCAGCGAGCTGCGTCGAAAGGTACCACTCTTTTTTGCCAGAGATGCCTGTGGACCGTGATATAGGACCCCGAAAATCGAAAAACCATAGGGGGAGTAAGCACAATTTTGGGTTGAAAAATTCGATTTTTCGAATAATAGCTCATTCGTAATAGCGACTCCCCCTATGGTTTTTCGATTTTCGGGGTCATATATTTCGGTATACAGGCATCTCCGGCAAAAAAGAGTGGTACCGTTCGACTCAGCTCGCTGACAAATGAGACGAATCGAATGGTATGGGTCCTGTATCGGAACTAAAATTCCGGTATACTAAACTACAGCCAAATTTAAATACCGAAAATATCGACCGACCAAATAAAAAATATCGTACCCCTTCAACGATATATCAAAAACCCGAGAAAATCCCGAGCTAAGCGTTTTAAAAAAAATATTGACACTTATTAATGTTACTATTAATTTTGTGATTTATCTCTTTCAAAAAATAATAGAAAATTTTGTGATTATCTAAAAAATAGCGGAATTGATAGGCAAATATACTTTAATTAAATGAGAACACAAATTTATGTTTATAAACAACTTTTTGTTTATAAAAGTTGTTATTTGCTCTAAACTATTTCGATGAAATTTGATCATTTTGCAATTTTATTTCTTTTTAAACCATCGGTTAAATAAATTTTTTTTAATCAAATACCTACTTTAGAATCACACTACTCAAATATACCCCGTGTTACAATGGGTTTATTATAAGGGATTTAGGGCTAGAGTATGTTTAAATAAGGTCCAACTTTAATTTAGTTGTGATTATTTCAATTTTATTTTATTTATGTAATTTTATATATTTTTTGATTAATAAAATAATTTATTTGTAATATAAAAATAAATATGTTGTAAAATTTAATTAAAACAATAAAAAATAAAAATAAATAAAACACAAAAAATACAAAAACATCAAAACAAAGTTTAATTTAAAGTTTAAATAAATCACAACTGTGATGTGGCGTCTTGCTAAACGTTATGGTGTTTTGGCGCACAGTCTTGAAAACATAAACATTTCAAGTTAATTACATAACAAGTAAAGGAGTTGAACAAGTTTTCTTATTTGTTAAAAACATTTCCCTCCTTTTATAAACAATTACAATTGTAAATGTTATAGTTGTTGTAAAAACACCAACAAATAAAAATGTTTTCAAGTTTTTGTTGAACAAATAATTTGTTGTTGTTGTGGAAGAATCAACAAAATAAACATGTGGGTTAAATAAGTATTGACAACGAGAACCGTGAAAGTTTGTTGGGCAACTTTAAATGTTTTTATTAATAAAAGGAGTTGTAAAACATGTTTTACAAAATGTTTGAAAATAAATAAACTTGGTTGTAAAATTGTAACTTGGAATAAATAAACTTAAAATGTGAAATAAACTTGAAAAATAAACTTGAAGGGAAAATAAACAAATAAACTTGAAACTTAAAATAAACCTATAAAAACTTAAATAAACTTGAAGCAAGATTAAACTTAAAGTAAATAAACTTGGGAGAAATCAACTTGAAATAAATAAACTTAAAAATAGACAACATAAACTTTAAAATGTAAAATAAACTTGAAACAAATAAAAATAAACTTAAAGTAAATAAACTTAAAATAAACTTAAATAAAAAAATAAACTTGAAATAAACTTAAAACTTAAAATAAACTTATAATAAACTTGAAGCAAAATTAAAAGTAAATAAACTTAGGAAAAATCAACTTGAAATAAATAAACTTAAAGTAAAATAAACTTGAAATAGAAAAAATAAACTTAAAGTAAATAAGCTTGGAATAAACTTAAAACTTAAAATAAACCTATAATAAACTTAAATAAACTTGAAGCAAAACTTAAACTTTAGTCTTAAAATTAAAACTTACATGCAAAATATAGGAGATAATTCCTCATTATAAATAATTTTTCTACATTCTCCCCCATTATAACAATAATATTTTTTTGAATAAAATGAGCATTCAACAGGTTTATTATTTAAATATTCTTGACTAATGTCAATTAAATTATTTTTATTTTTATGAATTTTGGCTTTAATTTTAATTAAATAAACTATTAAAATTAATAAAATAATTAATTTGAACATTTTCAAAAAATTTTTAAAAATTTTAAAATTTTTAAAAATAAAAATAAATATTTGGGAGGAAATTAAATCTCTTTTTAATTTTTTTGTCATTTTAAAATATCCCAAAAATATTAAAACAAATAAAAAAACAATTAAATGAGTAATTAAATGACTCATTAAATTATCCTCTTTTCTAAAGCTTTGTGTCTTTTTTAAACCTTTTTTGAAAATTTTTGTGTATATTTATTTGCACAGAAGGTGTTAAAAAATAAAAGACTTCCGTTAAACAAAGAATTTTTTGTTAAAAATTAAAAAATAGTAGTTGACGGCCTCTAGGGAAACAGAGGTGAGTCGGAATTCCGATTTCCGACACATCTGTGTCGGAACATTTGTGTCCGATACCCGACCCGACTTTTTCCTTTTTAATACCTAATATTAAATTTATTTTAAATAATATTAAATTTAAATATAGTAAATTTATTTTAAAAATTAAATAAATTTATTTTTCGATAATTTTATATTCCCAAATTTTTTAAATAATTTTTTCTTTCTTTCAAAATTTTCTTTTAAAATATTCTTTCAAAATTTTCTTCAAATACCCTCAAATTTTCATCTTTAACAAGTACAGCCATCACAATCGCATATTTCTGACGAGACACAAATTCCATCAACACAGCAGGCACTGAAGCAGCCTTGAAGCGTACTTGGATCGGCGTACTAAAATTTTCGATGATATTAGACAAAAATTAAATTTACTTATTTTTATTTATCTCGGACAGTTAATAAAAACTGGATAATGTTAAAAATCTAAACATTTTAGTCTAAGTCAGAAGTCCGCCAATTTCTAAAAATTTTATTTTTCTTACCAGAAAATTCCGAAAATTTTTATTGGGAATTCCCCCGAATTTTTTTGAAAAATCGGGAATTTTTAACACCATATCTGGTGACCTTGGCTTCCAAAATTCTCAAAATTTTCGACTGCGGTGCTAGAAGAAGAAGATATGACGGGACTGGTCTTCCAAAATTTTCAAAAGGAAGAAGTATGGGGTATATCGGAGGATTAGCATGGATTAAGATGGATTGGAGTTATATTTTAATGAGGGACATCAAAGGATTTGGTGTGATATGTGGTATCAAGAGATGTCTCGATCCACTCAAATCTCTCGATCTTCCTTCATATCCTTAACCTTTCTGCTTTAGGATTCAGTTTAGTTTTCTTGGAAGATTCTGGCTCTAGCATGTAAAACTTTCGTTTCCTCCACCTACAGGCCATTCAAATTAAAAAAGGTACCTAAACGGTAAGGCTGGCGGATAGTTGGAAATCTTCGAATATCGATATTTCCTGATCCGAAAATTTCCGGATCCGCCAACCTTACTAAACAGGGGTGTATTTATCTATTATTGGAAGTACCTAAAATTGTAGTCCACTCATGTCTAAAATACCAAGAAATAAATTAATTTCAAATTAACCTTTCGTGCTTCAACCTCATTAACGTAGAAAATAACAGTTATAATTAACAGAATACAGAATACTAAATTTAATTTCATCATTTTTAAAGTATTATTTTTTAATTTGAATTTAGAGGATATAATCTAAAAATATTAATAACCGTTCAGATTAATTTCGCAACTTTCGTTTCATTTTCACTTGGGTTTAAAGGTTTACATCGAACCAGGGATGGTGCAAGTTACACGAAACCTGACTTTATTTATAAATATACATACCTATATTCCTCTTGGAGTTTAAAAAATCCTTCCATCTAGGAGCCAGTTAATTTAAAAAATATATCTTTAATGGAGATTTCTAAAGTATATTTACATAAGAGGTCCGTCTATTAAAACTGAACTTGGTTATTTTCTTTCAGCTAATGCAAAAGTTTATTTATGCGGATGTGAGAGAACTCGGATGATTCAGGCTTTCAAAAACGGAATTTTCTCCAGCCAAAACCCTAACCAAGAAAATTTAAAAATCCGACCAGAAACATGTTTCGACATTTTTCTCAACCCGACCCATCCCTGAAGTAAACCAGCATCTTCAGGTAACCACTTAGCCTACTGCCTAGCTTTAAAAAGTAAATAGCTATATGCTTTACACTTTTAGTGTATTTAATAAAAATATTTAAAATTAAAAATGATATATTTATCTTCTAAAAATTTAATTTTATAAGCCCTTTCTAAAATTTATTTAAATATTTGATCATATTTTTTTCATAAAAATTTTTTTATTTTAAAACTGCTGAGAGTTATTTTACGGATGGAAAGCCTCAACATAAATCAAGAATAAAATTTAAAAATTAAAAAAATTTTTTTCATAAAATTTTTTTTTTATTTTAAAACTGCTGAGAGCAATGTATGTATTTTATCAATAGAAATCCTAAACATAAACCAAGAATAAAATTAAAAAAAAATTTTTTACAAACTATAGTAAATTTTAAATATACCACAAATCAAGAATTAAATTTTTCAAATAAAAAAAAATTTTTTTTCATAAAAAAAGGAGTTGGCAAAATTAATAGATTAAATTAAACTTTCTCTAATTTTAGCTTATTTTTAATTATATTTTTAAAAATAAAAATATTTTTTTTTGAATTTAAAATTTGCATGTGATTTGAAAATAAAATTCTCCAAGGTAACTTTGAAGGTATTCAAAAATAAATTTCTCTGAAAAAAATTTTTGGGAATTTTTATAAAAAATATGAAAAAAATTTTTTAAATTTTTGGTTCGACACAAAACACA